TGTTATCCCAGCTAGTCTTAGATTAAATATCCTGCAGGAGCTCCATGACAGCCCTTTAGCTTCTCATGCTGGTATTCGAAAAACTATCCAACGCGTACGCGAGGCAGTCTATTTTCCTGAACTGCAAAAGTTAACAAGGGCGTATGTCCAGTCCTGCCCAACATGTCAAGCAGTTAATTATATTAATTTCCGCCCGGCCGGGTTTCTAAATAGTATTAAATCCGAATTTCCAAATGAAATAATTGGCATCGATTTATTGGGCCCTTTCCCAAAAAGTCAGTTAAATAAAAGTCGCTATCTCCTTGTTATGGTTGATCATTTTAGTAAGTGGACCGAAATTGTTCCCTTAAAACGAGCCTCCGCGAAATTAGTTACTGATTCTATTTTAAATAAATATATTTTAAAATACGGGGCGCCCCTAAAAGTTATATCGGATAATGGTCCTCAATTTGTAAGTAATGTATTTGAAGACATGTGCCAAAAACTGGGCATACGTCATTTAAAAATGGTCCCGTATCGGCCGCAATCAAATATAGCGGAACGGGTCAATAGAAATATAGTGAAAATTATCCGTAGTTATGTTAAAAATTTTCATAAAAGCTGGGATAACTATGTCAATGAATTTGCTTTCGCCCTTAGGACCGCAAAACATGATACAACGGGCAAAACTCCTGCTGAGTTATTTTTAGGCAGAAAGATTATAACGCCGTTAGATAAATTATTTTATGTGCAACAAAGAGCCCCAGAATTTAAAATGGGTGATATAGAAAAACTAATTAAGGAAGCAAAAAGAATACGGAAGTAGCACAGAGAAAAACAGAAGCTCTATTATGACTTGAAACGACGGGGAGTAACTTATAAAGTAGGGGATGAAGTTTTAAAAATTAAGCATTCACTTTCTTCAGCACCAGAAGATAAAACTGCCAAATTTTTTCCACGATTTGAAGGACCATATGTCATAGAAAAAATAACTCACGCTGTAGTAGTGTTAAAAGCCAGAAGAAATGGTGAAACCTGCTCCGCAAACATTGATCAAATCAAACCCTACTATGATCGTAATAAAATGCAAATATTTTCAGATCTTTTGCAGGATCCGGCACGGCAGACACAGCAGGCACAAGCTCCAGAGGTGGAAAAACGACAATTACAAGGGCAAGCCATTAAGAGGCAGGAGCAAGTGAAAAGAAAATTTCCCCGCGGGAAAATTGAAGGTAGCAAGAAAAAGAAGCCGCTCCACCGTCCAGAAAAGAGAGTTCACGAACACCCCCAGAATGAAGAAGGGAGAAGGACGACGTATGTGAAGAGAACCAGGAGAAATGACGGCAAATATAACCCGGCTCTAAAACGGAAAGATCTACGGCAGGAAAGGATCGGCCAGCAGCAAATGTCAGCCGGACCAGCGGTATCAAGGCCAAGGACCAAGACAACTGGTGAGAAAAGGAAGCTTCCAGAGGAAGGCACTGAAGGGCGAGCCCGTACAAGAAGGAGGATAAATCAAACAACCTGTACTGGCCCTTTAAAGGACTGGGCCCAAAAAGGATGTCCGAATATACAAAATTAAGTTATTTTTAATACTTTGCAAACTTAAGTTAGATTTTAAGAAGTTTACTTGCAGAGTTCTCATGCGAGGTCTACATCGCCAAAAGGGCGAGAAATGAGTTGTTACCGATTTTGGTATTATGTTTTTCAATTACTCGCGCGTAGTTAAAAACTAAAGCGTTGTATGTAAAGACTTAAATATTGTAAAAAGTTATTGTATAAATTTTATTTAAAACATTCTAGCAAGAAAGAAGTTTTTAGTCTGAAAGACTTTTTGAAATGTAGTATTTCAATGTAGAAAGAATTGGCACTTGCTTGGAAAGAATAGAAGTTAACAATGTACTACTAATGTATGTTTTCAAATGTGTAAAATTAACGGCATGTTAATATGTTCTTATATACAATGTGAATTGTTATTTTAAATGTTAAGAAATACCGTGATATGGTAAAAGTGAAAGTAATGTTAAAATTTTTTTTTTATTCGTGTGACTGTAAACAGATTAAATCATGGTGAATATGTGTTAAAGGTTGAATGATGTAGTTAGGCTCTCTGACGCTACACTTCAGAGTTAGACACTTTCAGAATAGTACCTCAGGGTTAAGAGTTGAAATTAGGGTGTGTTAAGAGGTCTTGTTATGTTGAATTTTAACACGTTAGTGTTTTGATTGTAGGAGGAGGTGTGGAACACGTAGACAGAAACACATTCGTGTTTGGTGTTCTTTTACAACACATGTCAGAGAGCACGGGGAGAGATAATTAAATAGTCATGAATGAAATAAGAATGTTCAGTAAAATATAATTATACATGTTACTTGCCATTTCATTGTGTAACATTTCATTAAACTAGTTTTCCTTCCAGATCTCTGGAAGGAACCAGATTTGAATAAAAGCTCCTGTCTAGATGCAGTACTGATGAAAAAAAAAAATTTGTGTATCCTGGGAGCTGCTATTGTAAAAACAAATTTCTTTCTTTTAAATTTCTAGTTTCTAGCGAAAAATATTTGTAAAAGATTGGCCTCGCGTTAGATTCTAGAGCTAAAAGTTTTCAACAAGGTCGTTTTAGACCTCAGTTTCAAACTAATTAACTCTGGCGGGAAGTATGTAAGGATCTTAAGTTTTACTAACGTTTATTTTATTTTAAATCTTTACTATCACTTCTTATTTTCTACTTCCGGCCAGAATTATAAGCGTTAAGGTTTTTATGCAAAGTTTGTCTGGCGAACGCCAAGTATTTAAGTTGTGGCTTTTTGCAAACGAGAGAGAGGAAGCAGTGAGTCGAAGCAGGCCGCTTACCTTAGAAGTTACGCAGTTGCTGTTTGCCTTCTAGGCCAGAGGTTTTAATCCTCTTGATAAATTTAAACGTATTGTAGTGTTCACAGTTCTCTGTACTACATACGCTTCCTGTTATTATAAGGCCAATCTTCCACGTTTATTATTCTAAAGTTAAATTAGAGTTTAGTTTTATTTTTATACTTTTACGTTTTGACCCCAAGTAGCGGGTCGTGTATTCCGAAGTACGGAAGTCATTGTAAATAGAGAAAAATAAAGGGTTTTGTATACCCTTCTTGTGTATCCTGTTTACTTCCCACAGTTCTGAACATAGCTTTAGTAAGCTCTCTGTTCCGAGTCAGGTCCTTGCATGTTCCCGAAGAAGGTTAGAAGGAACATTGACCCTGATAGCTAGACTGGATAGACTTTCTCGAATGAGCTGGAAAATTCTGGAAGTTAATTTTTAATGTACAGACACTGAATAATGAAGCTTCTTTTTAGAAAGCATCGAATTTTCCAAGGTGCTTTCTTACATTGCCTCCGATTGTAATTAAATAATGTCTAGAACAAATTACATTTTTACATGAAATTCTCTATAACAATTCATCCAATATATGCATTTTCAAATACTATTTACATTAAAGTGGAACCGCATGTGTATACTAATTTTTTTGTAAACCAATAGTATTTATTCGATAATCTATTGCCATATATTCCTTCAAACGTTTGCATCTATTAAATTATCACTTTGTTTCACTAAAGCAAGGTCTGTCGATACAAACATTTTCCCATACACCATGTAGATCACATAGTTTTTAGACGCCCGGCTTATTTTGTGGAATTTATGCCATACCATATGAATGCTATATTTCAAGAGAAAACAAAATGCAGTCTGGAAAAATCGTTGCTTAAAGCAGAATTAAATTCAGCGTCTTAATGTATATTTACTATTTTAGGAAGCAGAAAAATAAGCCCCTTTAAACTAGACATAGATATTGACATACTAGTATAGGCTTTGTTATGCAAGTTGGTTTATTGATTGTGCTGTCACCATTGCGTAATACACTAGATGCCGCTTAGTGTGATCACTTTTGTCTACGGCTATCTTGATAACATTAAGCGAATAATAATTTGATATCATTAAGCATTACGATGCAAAAAAACATTCTTCAAAACAGCAATGGAAAATTTTAATTAATTTAATGTAAGTATACTAGAAACATATACATAGGCATTTACATAGCATTTTAATTACCCAAATGCAAAAGTTTGTTTATGAACTGCTCATAATGTCTTTACTCCGAAAGTTAATTTATAAGCTATTCATGATGTATTGCATGCATGTATATTTCGAGGAAATATTTGATTGATGTTGTACCCCTTATCTTAACATCTAGAGGGCATCCCGCATTCAATGAGAACTTCCCAATGTAAAATTTAAAATGAGCAAAAAATCAATCTTAGTTTAGCGTAGATGTTTTCAGGAAAAAAATTAATTCTGCAGACACTTTTTTTTCCTCCTGAAGAGCAGAGACTTGTGTCTGATCCTCTCAAAATTTATAGAGTTACTGAAAATATGTGCCACATCAAAATTGTTTTTTGCCTAATTGTATAATGGTTGATTAAAATCCAAACCAAAATATTTGTCGGCTTAATCCCTTACTTGGAGACATTTCTCTGTAACTTAACAATTTTTATAATGCGTTTTAAACTTATTTGTTGACTTCACTTCAGTTAAAAAATATTCTATAATAATTGGATTATATTAAGCGAATTGCTGATCAGGATGGAGCGATGTATTTTCCATCCACAAAAGAGCAGGATGTTGATAATTCGGTAACAATGTCCGAATGATAACATTAGCCGCCATCACATTAAAGCGGCGTCTACTGTTTCATGGGCTTTCATAAGGATGACGTCACAGTTATGCAAGTGAATTACCGTATAAATAAAAAGATTCTCAAAAATTAAAGTTTTCATTAATTTTCAAAATAGTTGGAAAAACAACAAATTGAAACTCTGCTCAGCTGCATTAAGGTGTCGACACCAGTATGAGCCCTTCACTAACTGCTGAATCTTTTGCATCGGAATACTGTTGTGAGACTTAACGTAAATTATTTTAAATTAATAATAGCCTTGATTTGATGTATTTACCTGCTGCCTAAAATAATCCTATTTTCCTTTTCAATAGTACTTTGGATTTGGTTCAAAGTCGCACGTCCTTTGTAGCTTTAGCTTTTGTTGTGCGAACGGTTGAAGGAGTAGGAGCTGCTGCATTAAGAACATCATGTTATACAATTATAGCGTCTCAGTTCTCAGAAGGAATAGGAACTACTTTTGTAAGTGCATGTATATTTTATGTCAGAATAATATTCTACCAAAATTAATAAAGTAATTGTATCATTTATCACATTTATTTGCTTCCTTTAGGCTATTCTGGAAACATTTCTTGGGATCGGACTTATCACGGGCCCTACACTTGGTGGAGCACTATATGATGTGAGAAATTAATTTTTCAGATTATTGATCCTGTCTTACCGACGACAGTGAAACGCGACATAAAGTTATCTAATAATTACAATAAATTTGATAATCATATTTTTAGAATTAAACGAGTTATCATATTTCAAATTCTTTTATTTTAAGCCTTATTATTTCATTTTTATTATTAGGTATTAATGCAGCTTATTTTCTTTTTCAGCTTGGAGGCTACGGCTTGCCTTTCTACGTAGTTGGCAGTATCGTTGTTATAGACGCTATAGTGATATTTTTCGCTCTACCTGATGTTGGTAAGTACCTATAAAATAATTATTTTATGCATCATGCTATCTGCAGCTGCTACATTTTTTTAAACTTACATTAAACCAAATATGCTAGAATATATAAATACTTCAGAGCATCATAAAATGTAATGTAAGCCAGCATATTATTCTAAGATAAAAAAAAATATTATTGGAAACGACGATAAAATCAATACTGTTCTGTTATCAGGACCGGATCCAGAAATTGCATGTATGTATGTATGTGTTCATACTATATGCATGTATATATGCGAGCACGAATGTCTGTGTTTGTATACATATACACATACATCAGACATATGCACATACATAACTTGCATGCATGCATGCATGCATTCATACATTTCAGAATCCGGCTCAACAGAATAGTACCGTATAATCTGTGCACACAAACATTATTACCCAATTTTCTTCTACAGGAATTACATTTCTTAAAAGTTCAGAAAGCAAATTTATTTTTCTTTTAATACAGGTTTTTCTCCTAGAACACGGCAGATAGGGTCCTATAAAACAATGTGCTTTACTTGAACTGTACTATACGAGACTAACAACCAATATTAAATAGAGGAATGCATTCAGAAAAGTTAAAAAAAGAAAAAAATGGATGGTTCTCATTGTTGCCTCATTTACATTTAGACTTTTAGTAACTTCAGATGCCTTTTCTCTTTTTAACAAAGGAGTCAAAATTTGTATTTTCATCTCTGGAGAAATAAATTTTCTTTTAAAAGTTGTTTACTTACTTTCAGACATAATTTGGGACTGAAATATAATTTCGTGATAGTTACTCCTAAAAAGGGAAAAGATTAAAAGTTCAAAATTAAAATAACTGTTATGAAATTAAAATATACCTTGTAAGAATTATGTTAATTTTATTAACAGTTAAATTTTGAGTTAAACTTCCTTTCCTATCGCTTCTTAATTTCAACTAATCACTTCCGGCCAGAACGTAGTTTTAGAATCACGTCTGAATGCTAATGAGAAAGAGCGGTATTTAATCGCGAAGTTCTACTGTCTTAGTGAGAGAGATACCAGATATTTTGTCTAGCACGCGTCCGCCTTTTTAGGGTACTCTCTGGTAAGCTACTATTACGCTCGGCCGTACTTTAGGCCCTAGATAGCCTCGCAGTCAATTTGCTTTAAGGGGCCAACTCTGTTAGAGTTTTGATAGTTTCGGCTATATCCTTTTTAGTTAAGATTAGTTTAGTTTATTTCTTAGTCTCTTAAGTTGAAGCCCGAGTGTCAGCTTTATTGTACATTTCCAAGACGGAGTTCTGTTAAATCGTATTTGAATTACTTTTTTAACCCTTTCCAAGTATATTTACTGTCACACGTACTCAAGCGATTATTGGCTTACTAGTTCTTAAGATTCTTCACATCCAACTGTAACTTAGAATTAATTACACAGTGGGGAATCCTGCACGGTTAGGGTTATTAAATTTTTACTGCACTTTTTCAGTAGAAACCTTAAAAGTGAAACAATTTCACCGCGATCATTTGCTACATTTTAGCAATGAAATTCTATTATCCAAATTAACAATAGAGCTTTATTTGATAACTTTTCTACGTTTCCGGCATTCTAAATTAATATAAATACGAAATTTACTCTACCTAGTGAATAATAATTTAAATTTATCTCTTTTATGTAAGGCAAATATAATATTTAAAAAAAGACAGAATTGGAAGTAGATACCTTTAAATCAACTAAATGAGTTAAATACATTGGACATAACTTTAGAATTGTAATTATATTAATGAACCTTTTCTTTGTTACAGATAAAACAACAATTCCAAAAAAAGGAAACCTTCTAAAATTTTGGTTTCATCCTGGCGTGTTAATTTACTCTCTAAGCGTCTTCACGTCTTTCAACTACATTGGTTTCAATCAAGCTACTCTAGAGCCTCACATCAGAGAGGTAAATTTGCAAAGTCCATAAAAAGTAATGCGGAAGATATTACAGTTACGAAAATTCAACGATTCATATAGAAAAAATAAGTTTTAATATGCTAAAAAAAACCTCGTTTTCGCAAAAAATGCTTGGTTTTGACCTAATGTTTTGCTTTTTTCTTGATGCTAAATTCTTTTCATTTCTTGTTTGCTATTATTCAGTATTTCCTTGTAAATTTTATGTATTGTAAATGTATAAAATAACGTTAAAATGTATTAAGTATTAAGAGAAGTAGTCTGACAATTTTATATACTTTTCTTTTTGTTTCCTTAAAAAAAGTATCTTAACTTTTCTTTCTGTAACACGCCGAATAACAATTATTAGAAGCTCAAAAGGCCAGCAATTAGCATTAATGCTTATAAATTTGTAGTATTAGTTTCAAATTGCCGCCAGGCGGGAAAATGACTCTGACTGCCTTACTGAAGCTTCCGTGTTCGAAAATCGATGATGACATGGATGTAATTTGTCCGTCCCCTCGCAGCAGGCAATGGTGGCCCACCTGTTAGGTGCCTCCATAATAAAATGACCACCGCTTACGGCCTTAGTAGTGGCCAATATCTATAGACTCGCCATTGGAAAAAAACAAAAAAATGTTTCGAAGATTTTTACTACAGAACCCTCTTCTTCAGCTGCAGGGATGAAGCTTGTGCTCAAGCGGTACTAGGGAAAAAAATAGACTAGAAAATTCGAGAAAGTTCCATAAAAAAAAAAAAAAAAAAGAACAAAAGCACAGCTGCTGGCGCCATCTGTTGATGAAAAAGGAAACCAACTATGAAATGATAATGAAAAAATAAAATAATATTTTAATCAGCAAGCCAGTTGTAATTTTCGAAACAGTCTTTTCGGCCATGACTCAAACGTGATTTTGGTTTCATCTTTCCTCAAAAAAGCACGACATCACACATATATCAGCAAGAAGACTAAGAGGGCTTTCCATGGCTAATCCCTCACTTTGGTAGTGATACGTATTTTGAATAACAAAATTTGTTTGTTTGAAACAAAGTTGAGTAAGGAATATCAACTTCTCAGTTTCGATACATGAAAAATGAACTACTCAAAGTCCAGTTTTTGGACATTTTAGCGTATCTTCTACTAAAACATTAGTAAATAATGATTTTACCAATATTATCGCGTGAACATAAGCTTTTCTGTCGTCATTTTTAATCCTGCAGCTGAAGTAGAAGGTTCTGTAGTAAAGCCTTCGAATCTAGTACTGCAAATTCATAAAAATTAAAGCTAATTACTGTTGACTGAACTTCCAATAATTTTCTTTTTGAGTTTATTCATGTGCCATATACTGAATTACTGAAATCAGTACTTCAGTGTACTCATATTTAAGCATTTTCTAAAAAAATATTTTAATTGAATATTTTTTGCAGGGCCATTTACTATATTCTTTCCCAGTATTCTTTCCTAATAATTTATAAAAGGAAAAAAAAAAAAAACTGAACGATTATATATATATATTCTGCATTGAATAAAAAAATGTGTAGAACTTTGGAAAAATTTACTTCGTAATTGCTTCTTTTCTTTTCCTCTCTTTTTTTCTGTTTTACATTTCTCTTTATTTTAATCCTATGCTTCTGCCTAAGGAATGTATGTATTAGTGTTTGATAGCTATGCTTCTCGAATCAGTTGTTTACCTCATAATAAAGTTGTTTTTCAATTGTCCTCTCGAAGGTGACTGTCTCTATCCAAAACAAACCATACCAGTCCAGATGCGCCCAGACAGATCAATATACTCTGTCTACGCGCATCTAAACTAGACAGATAGAAGCCACACAAACTTTTTAGGAAGAAAAGTTATGTCTAATATTACCTCGAATCAAACAGCGTAAACAAACAGAATTATGATAACATTTCATCATCGACTGGGCAGATGAGCCCGAATATTAATGATGCTGGCTGTTGTTGATGTATTTTTTTTTTTTTTTCTTTAGCTGAATTTTGTGAAGCATATTTTCAGGCTGAGTGCAATTTTTGTTAAAAATTCATTTTAATGCGTATAATATAATACAAATTTAATTTACCATTTTTGTACTTCTAAGACATTGCGGGAAAAAGAAATTGCCTAAAAAGATTGCAGATGAATTTCTGTTGATTCCTGATCTACTTATTTAAATTTATGGAAAGCTAATACTATCAAAATCAACTTTGAAAATTAATTTTCAAAATTAGAAGCGGCTATGTCTTCTGAAATGTCGTCGGTAGCAATAAAAAGAGATAATAATAAATATAGCAATGACAAATTTAAATTATGTTTAAAGTAGTAAAGCAACTGAAATATTAATTATTAAATTAATAATAAATAGTTAAATAATAAATTTAAATATAAAACTCAAATTAACCAATAAAAATAATAAGTGAGTAAATTAATGGTAATAAGACACAGTATTGAATGTTTTGAATAATCTTCTCTGTCAGCTCCGAATCTTTAAACTCTGAATAACAATATTAGCGTACATTTGTATTACAGTCACTTAATTTTTGGCTCAACTAGAACTGTTTTTCCTTTTTCAATCCTTTCTTAAAATAAATAGAAAGGAATTGAAACTATTTAAATTTTAGCCCTGAGAGGATCAACAATGAAAAAAAAAATGTGATGTTGTTTAGGGATTGTCAACAACCACTTAAATATAGTTTTGATTTTAATCTGAGTTTGATCTTTAGGATTGTTAGGGAGTATTAACTATTGATTATAAATATTTTCAGTTTGCTTTTCAATTTGATCTTTCAAGGCTTGTTAGGAAGTATTATTACTATTAGTTAAACATCGTTTCCTTTTTCTTTGAAGTTTGATCTTTCAGGCTTGTTGGTAAATGGTAACTAAACGTAGTTTTAACTTTCTTTTCAGTTTGATCTTTCAGGGTTCCTGCTAGGAATGATGTTCGCCTTGAGTGGAACTGTGTATGCACTCAGTGCTCCTGGCTGGGGTTGGCTGTGTGATAAAAAGGTAAGCTGGAAAAACAAAGCTGTATTGTATATGTACATCTGTTAATCAACAGGAAACATATATAAGTGAAACATAATTTTCAACCAACTAAAAATAAAACTGATGTGTATGCCAGAAAAAAATATAAAAAGTATAGCTATGAAATAATAAACTTTAAGAATAGACACTTAAAAAGTCCACTGGCATTACATAAAAGGAATTCTTAGAGTACTAGCTTTGCAAGTAGCTTGTTAGTACCCAACCGGTTGACACTAGTTTGTCAGAACCCTTTCCTAAAATACTTTTTATTTCAAACTTTAGTCAGGAAATCGGTCTCTGAATTATTGAAGTCCACACTACGTGTAAGTCACGTAAAAGTACAGTTATAATATTAAAAGTATAATAAATAAATGTATAAATAGTAATATAAATAATAATATATAAATAAAATTACTGGCGGCATAAAAAATATTAGTTCTGTATACACTAATGCAGATATTTGACTTCAAATGAATCTCTAAGTTAAAAAAGGAAATTTGCCAGAATTAATAACTGATACTCTTTTGAATTACTTTTTATATTTTCTCATTTTGTTTCGACAAAACTAGGGTTAGTAAAAAGAATTGCCTTACTTAGAGGAAACTTTGATTTGAAATTTATATCAAGAGATCTTAAAAGAAATAAGTTATATTGAGGTTGAATGGTAATTTTTATTAAACTTCAAACGCAATCAACAGTGCTATTTGTAATGACTTAACCGATGAGGTGTTAGCTATCGATCTTTTGATCTTTTTGTGTTCTGATGGATACGTTGCAGGAGAAAATTACTAAACCTTAATAATGGAAAACATGTAAAATTAAATGCCGAATGATATATGTGTTAAATAAAGTTCACTTAATAGTTAAGCATTTTCGCGGTACAACTTAAGTAATCAATACAGGAAATACAGAAAATTAAATAAAAGGTTTCATTACGAAATTAATTGCTGATTTTCGCTTTCGATGAATGACCTAAAATCATTAATTAAGAGGCGATACATTTTTAAAAATAGAAAAATATGCTGCAATGAATTTTCATTTATTTGTTTAGGGCGCTAGTAAACCGGTTACTATGAAGTATAATAGTTCATAAATTATGCCTAATGACAATTTTATATAACTTTGTAATCCCAGCAGGAGCAAAATAGGCTTACTTAAATGTTGGTTGGTGGATAATTTGGCGCATAAGCTGCTAGGCCATAATGTGCCAGACGCATGGTTGCTTACTTAAAGGATTTGTGAAAATAAGCATGTTCTGGCTATTAATAACTGGCACTTGCAATAAATGGCCGCCTTTTTAAATCTGTACATGAAAAGAGCTAGCATTTCTCTGAAATCAATCCTAGAATTACTTTAGCATTTCTCCTTAAAGAGTATTTCTTTAAATCCTAGGCTTACGTGAAAATGTCCAGTCTTTCCGCAAGATCTAATTGATCTAAGTTGAATCTTTGATAATGACAGGGAAATTCTTGCAGTTAACAGTGAATACAAAATATTAAAACAAGTTAAATCTGACAATAATTTTACTTTTAATAATTTTAAACTCGTACAAAAGATATATGAATATATTTTAATCACATAATATATCAATATTTTAGTCCATTTCATTTGGCCAAATATTATCATAATTTAGTGTTTGATAATTTGTTACTTCAGTTCACGTTGATTCTGTTTTCAATGGCTGATCAAAGCTGTGAAATCCGAAAATGTCTGAGAATCTCTTTTTTCGAAAATAAGATCAGAAACGACGATATTTTGTATAAGTGAATTCTTTTCAGGTGCTTGTAGTCGTTATATCCTAATGTTTCAAATATAACAGATGTAATGAAAGTAAAAAAAAAAAAAATGTGAATTTAAAATGTCTGAAAACTGATTGTTTTCACTCTACAGTGCACTATACTTATTGCTGTCAACGTGTGTTTAATAAAAGAATACTGTCTATTGTCATAATTTCTCTTTACAGTGTAACAGTCAGTTCCTTAGCTTAATAGGATGTTTTATCAATATCACATCGCTGCTTCTCCTTGGTCCTGCTCCGTTCTTTCATATGAAAGCGTAAGTATCGCATACTTTGCATAAGAAAATTCTTATTGGAATATATTCCTTAGCTGACGATTATTACAGTATGATTCTGGATATCAACTGTTGCTTGAAATTAAAATTTGAAACGAATCGTACATTAATTATAAAGAAAAGTAGATCAAATTCCCAGAAATAATTCGACAGCGATTAATGTTTTTGTCATAAGGTAAATTCCAGTTAGGAAATGGCGCTGCCATTCTCTATACAGCTTACATTAAAATAGTTTTACCAAAGGTACCTCTAACAGGTGAAGATGGGCTTCTCTCTTTCGACAAAATAATAACACAAGGTTGCTGGAGATTTACAGAAAATCCAAAATAGGCCATTACTTAATTGAGATAACTGGCCAGTTGAAGATAATATGTAAAATTCTGTGGACTTTTCCTCCTGTCGAAATTGAAAAATAACAAGACAATTTACGAAATATCCAAAATGGCCTCGATTATCACCGGCAAGATACTCGGAGAAAGTAGATAACTGCTTTGACACCAAGTCACAGCTCTCAACCACAGATAGATCTCTAATTGAACCTAAATATTTACAGTATTGTATAACCACGCTAAAGTTATAGATTTATGAAATGCTGATTGGTTATAGATTTATGAAATGTTTTATGAAATGCTTAACGTAAAAGATTTTTCAACATCTAGGTGTTTAAAGATATTTAAAGATGATGATATTTTAATTTTACCTAAAGATTTTTAAATGATATGTCAATTTAGAGATATCTAAGAGTTTTTAATGTTTTAAATAATTCAATTTCGAGTTCAGTTTTCGGCGGCGGAATAGTCTGAATTCATTAAATGATTTCGAATTTTCCGTCTTATGTATGCAAAGAACGAGCCAGTTTTTTATACAAAGTCTTCCACGAAGGCATTCTTTCATAAGATTTATTTCTCTGGTTATTTCCATTAGTTAATAAGTAACATGTTTTAGAAATTTAAAATTTAGAAGAAATAATTTCCGATTTAACCTGCTGTTTATGACATGTGTTAAGGACAAATGAGTTAAAAAAGAACTTGTATAAAGCAATGATAAACTTTTAAAGGCGTATTAAGGTAGGATTGGAACTAGATTCAAGTAATTTTGTAAAAGTAGATTTATTAATAAAATTTCTGCCGCTTTCATAACTAGCTGTAGTTGGATTTCTATCAAGCAACTTTTGCTCTCAAACTACCTTTCACAAAAACAGGGTGCTACTTAACGAGTGCTTCTTTGAGTTTTGAATGATAAATGCATTTTTTAATTACAAATAATATCGAGACATATTGTAATTTGCATAGAATAAACTGTTAACTTTATACAGCTGACGATGAAGCTAGAAGCGAAGTAGCTAGGAAAATAGGATGCACTCCTGTCCTGACTCAAATGAGAGACCTAAAGATTGTTGGCTCAATTTACTATTGCACATGAGAGGTCATTCCAAAGTCTATGTATCTTCTCTATTACTTTAACAGCTTCTTTGCATTATGCATTTTTATGACAAATTACCTTTGACGTTACCTTTTGTTTTTAAATTACTGCAAGGATTTAATTTTGAAGAGAGTCATTTGAAGTTTGACAAATATTTAGTTTAGCTTACTGGAACTCTTTTTTTTTTTTTTTCCAAGTCTTTATTGTTTGTCTGTCTTACAGAAATCTTGCACTCGTCATTACATCTCTAACTCTTCTGGGCTTTGGACTAGGGGCTAAGCTCGTATGTGCTTTCACGGGAACGTTACAAGATACCATGTAAGTATTCAACAGTCAGTCTTTCGTTTCACAAATCCATTCTATGAAATACGAAACTGAAATCAAACAATATGATAACGCTCTATAAAGCTCGTTGTTTAACTGCTTTAAATTATTATAAAATAGCGATAATGGTAATATTACTTATACTACACTAATTGAATATTAATTTAATATAATGAATATTATTGATACAAATTTCAGCAAACAATAATACTTATAAAATATTCAATAAATTGTAAATTTAATATTGAAAAAGTTTTCCATCTAATAAGAGTTAATTAAGAACACTTTCATTATAACTGCCACTTATTATAACGTCCTATTCCTTAGGTCGCAAGAGGCTGTTATAGCGAGCTTCACCTGCATTATTTCACAAATTGTTTTAGAAAGATAGCACGCCTATATCTCTCGACTAGGTTGGCCGTATACACATGTTTATTAATACTTAAAAGATGAATCAAGTAAGGTAATCTTTTAAAATGATAATTTTCCTCGTGTGACATCTTTTAGTAAAAATATAGCAAATTAAAGTTTTAAACAGGTCATTTGAGAAGAATGTTCCGCTAATAGGTAACATTTACATTACCTACTTTACATTAACTTTTTTCTTTTGATTCCTTTGGGGAAAAGAGTAAGCAAGTGGTCTGTAATATGCAAAACTGAGCCTAAAAGGATCAAAATTCTCTGACATAAAGAAATTTATTAGTTGTGAAAAAATACAAATTTTAGAGGCGTATAAAATTTTAATTTCATGAGATAAAAGATTTCAAATTTCAACGTTTCAGTAAATTCAACTTCAAACCTATGTTTCTTTCTAAGTTTGTGACTGATAAAAAGGTATTTTTTAGAAATTCGCATCTAAACGTATAACATACATAATTCTCTTTAGTAACATGTGTATGCGGCCCCATTTTATTATTATTATTATAGATATCTTGGGTAAATTTAAATGGAAGGAAAGAATGGAAGCATTTTAGTTTCACTATCTGGTTGCTTTTAATGGGAAATATAATCGAGTAATAGTTGAGCTAATTTTTTGAAAATGGAGCTTAAAATGAGGTATTTAAGAAAATTTGACCTCGTCTTATCAGGTTCAGTGTTTCTCCTTACTTGCTTTGGGAACATGCAAAGACCTGACTCGGAACAGGGAGCTTACTAAAGCTATGTTCAATAAATGTGGGAAGTAGACAAGATACACAGGAAGGGTATATGAAACCCTTTATTTTCATCTTTACAAATAATTCCGGACTTCGGAATACAGAGACCAACCACTTGTGGTCTGAACGTAAGAATATAAAAATATTAACCTAAACTCTAACTTAACTTTGGAATAATAAACAAGGGCCTACGTGGAAGATTGGCCGTATATTAACAGGAAGCCGTATGTAGTACAGAGAACTGTTAACACTACAATACGTTTAAAATTATCAAGAGGATTAAACCTCTGGCTTGGAAGGCAACCAGCAAACCGAGTAAAAACTGCTAAGGCAAGCGGCCTGCTTCGGACTAACTCCTTCCTCTCTCTCTGCTTGGCAAAAAGCCACAACTTAAGTACTTGGCGTTCGCCAGACAAATTTGCATAAATAAGTTAAAGCTTTTAATTCTGGCCGGAAGTAGAAAATAAGAAGTGATAGTAAAGATTTAAAATAAAATAAACGTTAGTAAAACTTAAGATCCTTACAGTCTTAGTCCAGATTCGAAAAGAAGACCTTTGGGTTGTCAGCTAGATTTGCTCTTATTAAATCACAAATGCACGTGGACAGATTACCTACTTTTACGTGGCTCACATAAAACTTTCATGTTTCATATATATATTTACTGAAAGGTGTTACTCAACCTGCTGTAGTCTGAAAACTTACCATATTTAATTAATTTCCTGGACAAGAATAGGGAATTTTAGATTAACCGTAATAATTCAGTCTTTTGAAGTACTGTGCATAGTAATACCAGTATTTATGCAGGGTAATGTAAATTTAGTTATTAGTTCATACTGTCTTCAGTAACGTTTGGGAAACATACAAAATAGAAAAATTCAAAGCTACCCTGTCATCATGATAAAATGTACAATTAACTAATGTCCTATTTTTGTCTTTTTATCAAGCTAATTTTTATCAAATCACTTATAAAATTTTTAAGTGAAATTCTTAGTTGGGTTTAGTAAAATATCAATGGAATCAATTACTGTCAGTTTTACTAGATTAAGATATGAAGTATTTTTGTAAGAAAAGGGAAGCAAAAACTTTTTGTTATTTGACACTTTGCGATTTATTCATTATAGAACTGTTTTTGCTCATATAAAAATGAAAAACAAAGACATTTTCAGGCCAAAAAAAATTCAGTTTTATAAGTATTTCTTTACTGAAACACACCCATGAAGCAGCCATCCAGCAGCAATTCACGTTGAGCATCAAGTTCACAATCCAAAATTTTTCTTTTTCGAAACGTTTCCACTACAAGGCGTTTTTTTAAACTCTTTAGATATTTTTTAATGTAAACATTTCATTAACAAAACTTCCAGATTTTTATTTAGAATTCCGATTATTGAGTTTTTTGGGGTCCGATAATTGTGCTTGAACTGAGTTTCACCTGAAAAGTGCGTGTTCCTTAAGAATCTTAATTAAAACAACGAGCATAACGCAAACAAAAATTTATTCGATCTGTAAAGAATTGTTCCTTACCTGTAAGATGAATGAAAGTAATATATGTAGATTTTTTGTTGTTTTTTAAATATTTAATAAGACGTGTGTATTGCACAGCCTAATGCGATCCTTAAATTAATATTGCTCTTAAAACAAATAATACCTACATTTGTCTCTTTCAATAAGCTAACGGACATATTTTTTCCTTACTTGCATAGTCAGATATTATTGGAGTTGCCTATTTCAACAACTCTGAAGTCTTTTTAAGTAGAAAGAAATAACAAAAGTATACTTTATTTATTTTTTGCCTCAGTTCACGTTAGTTAAAAGTAAACCTAAAACGCTAAAGTAGAAAACTATAACATATCATTGCGTTACTTATCAAGCTAATCTTTATTTCATTGGCATTGTTCCACATAAAATTAATATTACATATCAGGTTAATAATAAATAACTAATATCAAATATCCGGAGCGAAAAATTAGTAAATTGTCTGTTTGTCATTATCAAAATTTTATGAAAATCATATGATTTTTAAATATTTTATTAATTTATTTTAGCAAAAGAGGGTTACCACCTGACTTAAGCACATATGGCCTAATATCTTCGATGATTGCATCTTCCCAGTCCTTAGGGTGAGTCAAATGAATTCTTTATGTTACTGTTTTGAATGTAATTAGTATTGGTATCAAAAGGAATGTTTTAGTTTCTATCACAGTAAAAAATCCATCCAAACTGATTTCTTATATTTGTATTGATATATTGTATATTTGTGATGCAATAAAATTGCTAAGAATCCCATCTACACAAAATTAGGATTTAATATTTGTTTCCGATAATTATAATATTTTATAACAGCTCAATAAAACATTCTCTGCAGTTCCTTATAAAATGCTAATCTACGACTGACTATAAATACTAATGAATTTTCTATATACACTCACTTCCAAAAGTTAAGCACGGAGAGGAAAATGCTAATTTCCGGAAGCCAATCAGAATTAAAGAGGATGCAGTTCGCTGCAGAGGTAGATGGAAGTATGCAAATATGTTCTGACGACGAGAAAGAATTGACTGTATTTCAGGACATTCGCGTATGTGCTAATCTATATTCCAGATTCCGTTTAGAGTTCAAAATGTATGAGGATAATTTAACTGAGAAAATTTAATCCATCAAAAGGTTCATCTTCCAGAATTTAAATTTACATCGTAAAGTTTAAAAGAGTTGAACACTTTTAAAAATGCCGATTTGGGTCAAAATATGGATTTTTCATTGTTCGTTTAGTATTCAAAAAACAGGAAAAGCGTCTTATGAGGATTTACTTGAACTGGTAAAAATTAATTAGTCCGAAACCGTAACAGACTTGAAGCTAATTATCGCTATGTTTGAAAGTAACTGCAAAGTCAGGGAAATATTTAAATAAGCTTTTTTATTTAACAGAACTTAGAACATAAATGCCCATTCTTGCGCTAACAATATCAGCTACGGCTCACGGTGATTCAACTAAAGGAATAGTCAAATTTAATTTAAACGTAAAATAGTAGTCCAAAACAACACAATATACTTTGACTCAGTAATTCTAACTGAAACATCAAAATCAATTTGTCAGCAGCGAAATAACGCAAAGCCGAAGAATTACAACTATTGAAGTTGGCTAGGACTAAACGTAGCATGCACGTGCTGGATAAAATAATGTTCTTAAGAAGTAACTGGTTCATTTAAACAATAACCTTACAGTCTTATTATTTTTTTTTTCTGTTTAGATTTGTTTCTGTTTAGAAAATTCGTTTTTATCTTATTTAGAACTCCAGTTAAAACTTTTTTAATATTACTTGGCAGTCTATTAGTCAAACTAGAAATAGTGTTTTGCATGCCGTAAGTTTATGCTAATTCCCATGCTTGTTTTTTTACATTTAGGTCTCATACTAGGTTCTATAGATAAATAAATATTTATAAATAAAAATTTTCTCCATTGGATAAATTTGAATTGCATCTTGTAACTTGATTTTTTTTATTGTTAATCCACTTAATGTATTAGTGCTAAATATTTCTCCCGAAACTTGTAGCTTTCTCCTTTGGTTAAATTTTCTACCTCTGTAAAGCAAAATTGTGTTACGAATTATACCTCGTAATTATCTTTTCAGAGTCAAAAAGGTTAAAATCAGATGTTCAAAATGGAAAGCATCAATATTCGCAAAATCGTTTTCTAAAAATTGCGTACGTAAGAGATTTAATGTTGGTAAAACACATATCGCCAGCTCTTCAAAACTTAAAGTGATAGATAACAACATATAGTACATATGTAGTCAAATTCTTAGATTAGAAATTTTTAATAATTACTTTACCAGCCTCTATTGTCCATGTTGCTACGTGATTAAATTGTATTTGAAAAAGAGTTGGTAGTTTACCCTAAAATTAGAAATGAGGAATATATGATTTTGTTAGGGTACGTTCAGGCGAAGGTCTTATGGTCACAACTTGCATAAATCGAACATCCGTTACTAGGCAACCAGCCATCGCTACGAGACGGAAACTGGTCTAAGAGTTCTTTTAGATGTTCTAACTGCTCAACTTTATGCCAACATGGTATACAAACAGACCAATTCTCAGCGAAGCAAAAACGAACTGACATCCTGTCGACGGATTTTCTTTCTTCTTCGATCCACGATCGCTGATTTCCGGGATGACGAGATTGGACATCCGCTTCTGCACATAGGCTTATAACATCTTTGAAAAAACTACTTTTCACCTGATTTCTTCTATATATTGAAGAAAAATCCTTTTGTTCATTGTAAAAAAATTATTTTCTTTTAATATGGTTTCCTCTGTTTTATAGCGTTATTCAATATTATTTTCGAATACATGCTTTGAATATCTGTAATTAAAAACCGTTCAACCCTTTAGTTTTTTTTTAATTGAGGCTGAATATCTGACATTCTTTTCAGATATATTCATATATCGTTAATACTTTTTATGAAAGGGTAGCTTTTCTGCTACAAGAACTGTGAAAGTTTCCAAAGAATATTTCAGGGAAATTCCACCGAATTTTTATTTAAAAGCAATCAACAACTTGCGACAATTCATTCTGCACACTGTTGTCTTTTTTAATCTCTTTTCTTGCTTGTTTATCTTTTCATTTCTCTCATTAAAATTGGATTTTTTGCCTTTCAGATCAGAGATCTGTGGTGGCTGCTAACTACGATCCCATAGATCTCGCATCCGTATCATATAAGGAAGTGTCATTAATGAGAATTAATTTTATGAAGGAAATTGGAAAGGGAACGAGAAAAAACGCATTACTAATTTTAAAACTGAATTTTTCCAGAATAGTTTAAATTAAGTGTTTCGTTTGATTAGTAACTTCAGACGAAGTAAAATGCAGTTTTACGAATTCGCTGAACCGAAATCTGGCTCTACATGGACGATACAGAAAAATGTCATTGCATCGCTATGTCCAAAAACGGGCCATGTCCAAGCTTCTTTTAAATTAATTATTTTTATTATTCCATCATTTAGAAAGAAATTTATATTTTATCATGAAAAAAAAGTAGCCTTATTCGCATGAATAATAAACTGTGAAATAAAAAACCTCGTACAGTAGATGTCTTTGAGTGTCTGCTTCATTGGTCGATTTTTTTTTATTAGAATTAGCTTTATATGAAAAGAGCTGCCTCGATGTTACTAAGTTACTCACTCAGAACATAAATAACCATATGTTACTGTTTTTGGCAAAAAATGGAAATTTACTCTTATTTATGGCGCATAATGAGTTTGTTTATTTCAGGTTGCTATAAGTTTCAGTTCTGTAAATAATATTATACTGCAGTGCTTCATCATAGATTTTCTGATTATGCTAATAACACTGATCCTATAACTTACCATAAATATGTAATAGGGGGACCGGAAAGCAATGTCGCTTTCTTACATTAAATTCAAACGAATACATTTTTAACAAGTTTTTATTTTTAATCAATAATATAATCACCCTCGTTATCAACAACATTTTGCCATCTAATGTGCAGATTTTCAATCCCGGACCGATAAAAATCAATTGGTTTTGAGTAAAATATCTCGAGAGGACATTTTAGACATCATCGAAATTTTCAAATTTTTTTGCCGCTAAGAAAATGTTGTAGGGATCCGAATAAATGGAAATCCAATGCTGCGATATCGGCCGAGTATGGTGGGTGAGTATGGCAGTACTTCCCACCCCAATTCATTAATTTTTTACAGTGTTCCTCTTGCACAGTGCGGTCTTGCATTGTCGTGTTGCAGAATGACGCCTTTTCTGTTGACAATTGATATTTTTCGATTAAAGATTGGTTCACTCCATCCAAATGTTCACAATAAAGGTCTGCATTAACAGTTTGTCCAGGTTTCAGCAATTCAAAATGAACAATTCCGCGAATACTCCATCAAACACGCAGAAGCGCATTTTCGGGATGTAAACCCTTTGTAACCCCTATTAAAACTGCCTTTTGAGTTTTGGATTATCATATAGGACCTATTTTTTTGTCTCCACTAATCAAACGATCAAAAAATGGTTCTGTATGGTGCCATTGAAGCAATACGTTGCATGTGATGGATAGGTTGGCTTTGTTCTTTTCGGAAAGATTATGGGGCACTCAAACACCTACTTTGCTTATTTTTTCCATTCTGCTTTAAGTGATCTTGGATGGTCGACCAAGGTTGGTTAAAAGTGTTTGACATGGATTTGCTTCCACTTCTGCCCTTAGCATATTGTTGTCGATATGCGCAGAAACGACATTACTTTCCGGTCTTCCTATTAGTATATTTTTCATACCTTCTTTCTTATTGAGTTATTGATTCATATTATCTCCTTTATACTACAATTTTTTTTTAAATGAGAAGTTTTAAATAGAAATTTTGAAGTTTGTCGAAAGAGATTCTAAAGTACATTCTAAATGATGTATACATTTTTCAAATATCATTTTTATAAAAGTTACCCTAAACTAAAAGATTAAAACATAAAAGCATGTTATTCAAAAGCCGAAAGAAAGGCATAAAACTCACAAGAGAATGACTCATTTCAGAAGGAATCAAGAATAGTCATCTAATTTTCTATTACTATAATTTTGAAATTGTCGAATATAAAGCGGTTAGTGATATAACAAACGAAAGAAAAACTCGCATTGTCTCTGCAAGAATTATTTCAAATACTGTGGGCTGTTGTATCTCCCGTTGTAAATATTTTATGTGATTTCACACAGTTACAAGAAAAACGTTGTGACCGCGCGATGATATGCTACTATAAAATTCATTGGCGGATATAAAAATTTAAGAAAAGCTGAAAATTAATTTAGGAGTTTTATTATCAAAAACAAACAGATATTTAGTTAGTAATCAAAGTTGGATCAGGATGAGGATTAGAATAGCACATGTGAGTGGAAAAAAATACATGAGAAAGCACAGAAACGTTTTAAAATGACTCAAAAAGAAACGCAATAATTTTTCACACAGAAAAGAAAATAAACTTTTAAAAGAGGATTATTTTAATGTTTCCATATAGTACAGAAAAGTAAAATATGTTTTTAAAGCGACTTTTTGCTTTTCTCAAAATGAAAATGTTTGTAATTTCTCTTTACCTGAAATACCAAAAATTTTAATTTTAAAGTTGAAATGACCTGAAAATTCGCAGATGTATTTTAAATATAAGTATGAAGAGAGTAAATTAAACTTATCATGACACAGTAATAAGTTTTTAGTAGTATACATTTAATGTGGGCATCCCGCCAATTGTTTATGAAACTTTTATATAATTATATCCTAGCTGTTGTAGCTTCTAAGAAACTTCTAAGAGTTATATTAATAAGGATTGTCTTGAAAAATCAGTATAATTTCTATCAAATTTACAAAATATTAATATATTATTCGCTTTCTGAGTTGCTGTTTTTTCTGTGTTTGTAAAATATACAGTACTTTTCCCTACTTTTTGGCTGAAAAATTCAAATAAATAAATAAAAAAATGCTTTCTTTTTTTAACGTTTTCTAAAATTTTACGTTTTTTTAATCAAAATATGTAAATTGGAAGACCAAATTCTAATAATTAAAATCGGGGACTGTCCGATGGTTATGGATACTTTAATTACATAAGTTTGCATCAGTTGTCGTAATCAAACAGAACTGTCGATTTATCATAGATAAAGTTTTTAAGAATGTGTGAAAAGTACTGAAATATTTCAATGTAACTTTGTTTGGGAAACTCCGTTCAAAAGGAGAGATTCTACGATTAGTTTCGGCCGATTAACAAGTATTTACGATTCATATTCCCTTCCAGCAGAATTAGAGAAATTGTGCAGAATCGGCATCGCCTCTCGTGCGAGATAGCCTTGAAATACAGAATCATTCCTTGACAAACAGCAATATGGGCTTCTACTCACGAATCGAAATCAAAACAGGAAGTTTGCGACAACTCTTCCATTTTCAAAAGTCATTTGTTTGTATTATAAAGTAGTTCAAGTAAATGCAAATGTATTGGTTTTACCGGAAGTGATGTTAGAGATAATAAGCATTAATAGGTTTTTAGTTCTTGGAAAACAATTTCTTTTCAAATAACAGCACAGAAACGAAAGCAATATTGCCCGTCCATCGGCTTAAAATTGATTTATATTTCTCGTAAATGAGATTCACGATTTTCTTATGTCAGAGGTGAGGAAAGAAGGACAAAAGAGGTCAAAGGACAAAATTTCATTTGATTGACCTCTACTGCTCCATTTCTCAAGCAGTAATTGTAAATTCGACACGTACAACATGACAAAATCCTGTCATGTCAGTCTCTGAAAACGTCACAGATACCTGCTTAAAAAAAACTGTAAATTCCTTTAAAAAATTTCGCTCAGTTATCAGTGCACTTAGTTCTACATGAAGTATAATCCTTTCATCTTTTTCTTGGAGTGATTCAGTTTTATATTGTCTGGTAGGTACTCTGATAGAATATAACAGTTATCGCAATATCACATTCAAAACTCACATTCCACAAGAAGAAATCTTTGCATCTAGAATCGCCCAAATACATAAAACTTCAGAACACGTGCTTAGATAGGTCTAGTCTTTCGTCAGTGTCTAAGACATCTCTCCTTAATTACCGAACATGTTGTCAAACAGTAGATATGCTAAGAACTCGCATAAATATTCATAATCTGGCTGAAAGCTAATCAAAATATCTCTGAATAATTCATATATTTCACTACACTATTCTTTAGAACCACCATTGTTAAAAGATTCAACTAAAAGCCTAAAAACTGATTACTAAGCAAAAATGTCTGAGAATTACATGATTATTGGAGTTAAAAAAATTAAAGAATTAAACTGTACAAATCTAAATTACATATTCTTGGTATCTGGTACTATGTTTTCTTTAAAAAGTACCCATGTATCTGTATATATTATTATTGAAAATTATACAGGTGAGCTACGTCATTTTAATTCTGCATATTTTTTTTTCTATTTTTTAGAGCTTTCGTTGGTCCTTCTATCGGCGGTTATCTTTTAGATACCTTTGGATTTTCGAATGCATCAATGGCTCTCCTAATTCTAGAAAGCATTTTGGTAAGTACTAGTACTTTTTGCATACATTTCATGAAAGAAAATAATTTGGTGAATTCATTTAATGCAACTAAGGAAATAATCAACAGAAAATAAACTTCTTTTTTATGATGAGTTATTTTGATAAAAATTCTTCTGTAAAGCCATACCAGATTATTTGCACTAATTTCCTGTAAAAATTATTGACACGAAATATAGTTTTAATAATTACAACAAGAGTGTTTGTTCTGAAAAGAATGAATATTTTTAGTTTTTTATAGCATGGAAATAACCATTTTATAGCATGGAAATAACTGTTTCTACTGAACTGTTTTTTAGGCCAACCTAAGTAACCAAAATATATTTTGTGTCAGTACTTTAAAAATGAGGCATCATCTAAACAAAGATTGGCTTGCTTAGAAAATTCATCCTTTCATTTTTTAAACACACAAATGGGCTTTCAGGAGCATATGGAATTTAAAAGATCAGCATTAGCTCACAAATAACATACTTCTTTATTTTCACAAAAAGTAGCCAGATAAGCTCATTACTGCATTTATTTTTTAAGAAGTAATTTCTACTTGGAAAAAAACCTTTGATAAAAAGAATGAAAAACTGCATACGAGACTAATACGTCTATGATCTAGTCTCATGAGTCCTCTGAAAGCCCAAGAAGTCCTGTGACTTACATAAATTATGCAGTTCTTTAGTTAGAAAGAAATCGAATTATTAATACAGACAAAACTTAATACAGTATGGACTTAAAATGAGTATTTTACGTAGAAACCTTTGTACGGTTTTTTGTGAATTCTGTTTTAGGATTACCAAATATAGTAGGATGTACGCAGGCGCACTCGTACACAGATATCATTCTATTAAATAAATAAAAGTTAAGATGTTCTCAATTAAATATAATTGAAATAAATAGTATATTCTTTAAAATTTCAGGAAGCATTTATCATTATTCGTCGCTGAGGCTGTTAAGCAATTATGTAAATAAAAATAATGCTTTTCATTTTGCTAAGTAAATCTAAGCAAGCTCCAAAGGAAACGTTTCACTTACATAGTTACTAACAACAGTTCCTTACAAATAACATTCGATCAACTTAATCTCTTCGATTGTTTCTTCAGCGTTATATCAGAAAACAGATGCACAGATATTAGTTTTCAAGGAACGATGATTCATTTGACATATGTTTTAAGTTCAGGCATCTAGCTGTATCAGAGTTATATGCAGATGAATTGATTCAAAGTTTGTAGAATATTATAAATTATGGACTCTCAAACTTATTGCATCCAACAATGCAATAAATCTAAGTATTCCGATTAAATGTACTCTAAGTAGAACCTCAATGCATATTGCAGACGTATAAATAAGCAAATATTCTGAGTCGAAGGAAACGAAACTACATTACTGCTTTTCTTCCAAAGCTAATTTATAATGTATCTATGAAAGCTTGGGATTGATTCTCTTTAAACTAACTGCAGGGAAGTTGAAATTGAAAACCTTTGACAATAATTAGTAAGTCATCTCAATTTACTACATTTAAAATACCGTCAACTCATGAAAGAAGTTTGAATGAAATAATTTTTGTTCGATTTTATGCAGTAAATATTTGTTTTTACGGATGCAAAGATTTATTCCGGCAGGCTACTGCCGGAATTCTTCTTAGAAGAAGATCAAACTAGTGTTTAGCTTAAACCAAACTGAGTTTATTTTTATGGAGGAAGTTCTCATGAAAAATTTCTAAATTGAAAACCGTAATTTATCCTACAAAATACTCAGTCTATCAGCCGACTGTTTATGATTAAAAAAATAAAAGGTATTTTTAAGGCACCGAAATAAAATAGACATGGCATATATTAAATTTTAGAGCATTCTGAAAGGCATAGTTTTCATTTAATTAAAACATACGTTTATACTATTTCTGATTAATTTGGCCTGCTTGTATTCCTTTTTATGTAGTTCTTAATATAATTTACATTTATCCGGTGTAGATGAAAATTTTATGTTAATTTTATATATGTTTTAATGCTCAAAGTGTGAATCGCGAGATAATTTTTGGGGGATCCTGAAAAGTTTTGGATTACTCTTTTTCTTATTGTATAATTACATATATTTACCTGCATATATAAATGAATTCATAATTATGCATTGATCTTTAATCTTCGTAGGCTTCTATGTATACGTGTTGATTTATTATTAATTCATTAGTACATTATTTTCTTCTCTGAAACTCCTTTTTTTCCCATTTTCTATTTTTTTTTCGGGGGGGGATGCGGCTCCTTTTTTTAGAGTAATTATAAATATGCGGATTGCAATAAGTTTCAACTGTGAGCTACAATAACTATCCCCTTGACTTACATTACAGAACATAACTAGATACATGTGGGTCGCGAGGATAAAACATTTTCGAAGCACTCTCATATACATGAATGGCATTTCACACTTAAACTTTCTTCTAGTTTCTTTCTTATATTAATTGCAAAATTACTTTTACAGGTTGTTCTTTTGATTGTATCCATTATTACCAAGAGTTGCAGACGACGTGAAATGAAGATCGAAAATCCGACATCATCCCCTGTATCTATTTGCAATGGCCACAAACCTGCAAAAGATATTCCGAATGGTAATTACATAAAGCAAGACAATGCGTGAAAACAGCAAAAATTTTCTAGTGACTTTAGAAACAGGGAACATTATTTAAATTTCAGACTTTTCATGTATTTTAGTTGAGAAAAACAAAGCATTTTTACCATGACATATAAAGCTCGAAGGAATTGGGAATAAGACAACCAGTAGGTTGTATAACATCTCTTACTTCGATGTTTCTATAGCACAGTCATTGATATTTTATGGCCCAGTTTTATATCAGTTGTCATCATCATGTGAAAGAACAGTGAAATCTGTAATATTCTGACTTTATATAAAGTGTGATTTTTAATTTAACGCTTTTTATAATTGTATTCATTTGCTTCTTTTTTTAGATACCTATAGTCATTTTTATTTTAAATGAAAATTTTACTTATGTTTTGTATAGTCTAAAATCACCAACGTGAATGAATAAATTCGTCTATACGTAGTGAAGTTTACATTGCACCCTTGCACCAGAATGAGATCCACTCAGACCTGTGCCATCTACTAGCCCATACATGATTATTATGGTTTCTCGCACCAGAGGCTATCCAGAGAGGCTGAAGCACCCTAAGGACCATCCTTATAATTATTTAATATATAGCGAACACACAGTCCGAGGTAGACTTGAGTACCCTTACGGTTCATGGAGGTAGAAAGTAAGACGATGTTACAGACATTTCTTATTTTCATGCTACAGTCTCTGTCGAGCCTGAACGAAGCCCCGCAGAAACGGGGGTTCTAGTCCTGTGAATGCAGCTAATCTCCTTCATACTGTCCACTCCTAGCATATGGAAGTTACGAATGACCAGCTCAGGGGGAGTGAAATTTACAGATGAAATTTTAAAAACGAAAAATATTCTAATGATAGTGATCTTACTTGCAGATGTCTTCGCTTATATGTATTCGTTTTGTTGGTTTACATGCACTTTAGCTGCCGCAGGTAATTTCTAAAGTTAAGATGGTATATATTTCCTCTTATTCATTGTGATGGTAATGAGAAGAATAATGCATTTATGATCATGGAAAAAAAACACTAAAATTATTTTTATCGTAAAACAAATTAAGAGTAATAATTTTTAATTGTAAATGAATTCATAATTTAAAAAAATATTTCTTTCAAAGTCTTAATATAATATTTGTACTTGATAGGCGATATTGGCAGTAATTGCAGGCATTTACTATAGGAAGTACAGATTTAAAATACTGTATAGTTATCTTATAAAACGAGCTTCTTATTAACACGAAATAAAAGTTTCTTAACTTTTTAATACTGTTACGTTATTTTCTTCCTTCACGGGGTTCGTAGATTTCGTAGATTCACGGGGTTCGTAGAGTGAATAACGACGACACTTGATGAAGTATCGAAACACACTTTATTTACCAATATTAATCAGATAGCTCCAAAATCACTTTTACAGTCGTCGAACTGTTATAAACACGCTGACACGTTCAGCGACACAGCCTTCACACTGTCAGGCAATAACGATGGAGACAGCTTCACTGCAAATCACCAGAGTACAGCTCCCGACTCTGCTTGGTTGTTCTCGGAACTCCACGTACTCTCGAGACTCTCCACGCTACAACTCGCGATGCACTCGACGAAACACAAGAGTATAGCTCTCAACTCAGCACAGGCTAAGACAAAACTCGACGATGCACTAAAACACTCTCTCGATGCACTCGACAACCAACTCGGCGCTAGACTTCGAGACACTCGCTCAATGAATGACAATCAGCTCGCTAGACGAGGCACACACACTAACTGACTGCGGGCCAGTAGGGTTTATATAGCTTTCGGCTTGTGTTCGAGAACATTCTGGGCTAAACCGGTAAGAATACGTTCCAGAAGGTTCTCCAACCATTCATGGTATATCGCCAATTTTGTCGCCAAATGGGCGATTTCTCGCCAAATGTGGCAACCCTCCCTTCCTTTCCTATTTATGGCACCCTAACCGCTTTGCGGAAGTATCCACGCGCTGAATTCGTAAATACTTTAGATCTAAGTAGAAAGAAGAAATTATTAATATTTAAACAAATGTTATAAGAAAAAACTTCAAACTAAACACAAGCGTATTTTTGAAGATTAACCAAATGCTTGTCAATTGTAAAGGATCTTAAGTTTACTAACGTTTATTTTATTTTAAATCTTTACTATCACTTCTTATTTTCTACTTCCGGCCAGAATTATAAGCGTTAAGGATTTATGCAAAGTTTGTCTGGCGAACGCCAAGTATTTAAGTGTGGCCTTTTTGCCAAGCGAGAGAGAGGAAGCAGTGAGTTCGAAGCAGGCCGCTTACCTTAGAAGTTACGCAGTTGCTGGTTTGCCTTCCAGGCCAGAGGTTTTAATCCTCTTGATAAATTTTAAACGTATTGTAGTGTTCACAGTCTCTGTGTACTACATACGCTTCCTGTTATTATAAGGCCAATCTTCCACGTTCTAAAGTTAAATTAGAGTTTAGTTTTATTTTTATATCTTTTACGTTAGACCCCGAGTGGAGGGTCATTGTATTCCGAAGTACGGAAGTTATTGTATATAAAGAAAAAAATAAGGGTTTTGTATACCCTTCGTCTGTATCCTGTCTACTTACCACAATTAGTGAACATAGCTTTAGTAAGCTCTCTGTTCCGAGTCAGGTCCTTGTATGTTTCCCGAAGAAAGGTTAGAAGAAACATTGAACCTGATAGTGGCGCCCAACGAAGAAGAATAACCATGGCCGAGTTTCAAGAAGAACCTGTGCTGCCTGCAGAAAACGGCTCAGAATCCAGAAATGCCAGCTGCCGCCCTGGAAGGATTTGGTTACATCGTCCAGACCATGCGCGCTTCGATGAAACCAGAAGCAACATTTAATGGAAACTCACCGGTAACCAGTTTTTTGGAAAAATTGGATGACCACTTCATGCTCTACCCCGTGCACGAGTTTCAAAAAGTTACCTTAGCTACCAGCGCTTTGAGGGGCCAAGCGCTTAACTGGTTCAAATGTATAGGCAGAAGTCTCTTGGGTCAAGCAGGAAGTCCCACCTATACTTACGAAAATTTCAAGACTGCCCTACTAAAAGCCTTCCCTGTTGTAAGGGATCGTGCGAAATTAGAAACGGAACTTTTCAGTATATATCAACAAAGAATCGAAAACCTCTCGAGCTTTATTTTAAGAAAAATTCACGTCTTTCAAGCTCTTGTATGGAAACCGTCCGGATCCTGAAATAATTCAAGTGATTTTGCCGAGGTTACTACCCCAAGTGCAAGACTTTATTGAATTAAGAAATCCGACTACACTGGAAAAGTTATTTGAGCTAGCAATCCAGTTTGAAAGTAGAAGAACGGCGGACGTCGAAAGAAGACGCCAATATCAACAGCGAAACCAATTTGGTACGCCAAGACTACAGCAAACTCAAGCACACGGCTACGGAGAAAAAGCGAATCAGTGGGCAAGGAAACCCGAGCATTCAAAAACAGCCGGCGAACGTCGACAGTTCAATAGCAACCCAGGAAAAAAGTCTCAAGGCCAGTGGAAAAAGAAGGAAAGCACGGAAAGAAAAAATAATTTAAACTAAAACGGATTTCTGCTGACGAGAGGGTGCGGAAATCCGAAGGCCACGAAAACCCCTCTTCCTTCACAAGTTAAATACAGTAATGGTGAAAAATTTGACTCTTCCGAAGATTGAAGTCTTGGTGAATAATATCCCAGCCACCGCACTCCTGGATACCGGCGCGCAGTGTTCCTGTGTGGCAGAAGATCTTTTTTAGGAAAGTATTTTCGCAAATACCGCATATATAATGCGGATAATACGACAGTGTTAGCGGCGCAAGGAGAAAAATGTAAGTGCGTAGGTAAAGTACCTTTGTACATCCGTATCAAGGACGAACAAGTAAAGGTGATGTTTTTTATAGTAAAGAATCTGCAAGCACATATTAATCTTAGGAATAGACTTTTCTTTCAGACGCACAAGCTACGCTGGATTTTAATGAAGCGTCCCTTAAGCTGACAATGAAACCAGTTCGTGTAGAAAAGGCTGAACCGCCGAAGGTTAAATCTTGACCACCTGCCTAATGACGAGCAAGATAGAATCCGACAAGTGGTAAGTGAATTTGCTTCGTTATTTAGTGATATTCCAGGATTTACTCAGGTTACTAACCATAGTATTGACACCGGAGATGCATTGCCAGTTCGTCCAAAAACCATACCGGTATGATAAGAATAAGGAAAAAATTATAGAATGGCATATTACCGATATGCTACGTAAAAAGATCATAACGCCCATCTCAAGTAGTTATGCTAGCCCGGTGGTTTTATGTAAGAAAAATAATGACTTATCCTTTGGACACATCCAAAAAGGTGGAGATTCGCTATTGATTACCGTAAATTAAACTTCCATAACTAAATATCCGGTATATCCGTTACCGATTATAGAAGAAATTCTTAAGGAACATAAAATCAACCAAATTTATGACGACTTTAGACTTAACGACTGGTTATTTTCAAATAGGGGTTAGGCCTGAGGACGTGCCTAAGACTGCTTTTATAACCAAGTCTGGCACTTATGCATTTTTGCGTATGCCGTTTGGCCTTTCAGGGGCCCCGGCAACATTTCAGCGATGCATGGACATTGTGTTAAGACCTGTTCTTGGAAAGTCCACATTTATCTATTTAGACGATATCATTATTACTAGTGATAATCTCGACCAACATGTACAGGATTTAAGACAGGTGTTTTCTTTATTAAATGAGGCCGGTCTAAAAGTTAATGTCGAAAAGTGCAAATTTGCAGCCCCTGAATTAAAATATTTAGGTTACAAAAATATCAAAAAGGGAATCGAGACAGATGAATCAAAAATAATCGCTGTACAAAAGTATCCGACTCCAAACACGGCAAAGAAGCTCTCTTCTTTTCTAGGACTTTGTTCATATTATAGGTCCTTTATAAAAGATTTTGCGGCTATCGCTGAGCCATTGTTAAAATTAAAAAGGAAAAAGGCAAGATTCTCGTGGACGGCCGAAGCCAATAGTGCTTTCGAAAAATTAAAACAAGCATTAACGCAAGCCCCTGTGTTGAAATTTCCTGAAAAGGATGAGAATTTAGAAATTTCAGCGGATGCTTCGGATTATGCGGTAGGAGCGGTACTTTCGCAAAATCAGCAGCCCGTGGCATTTTTTAGCCGAACTTTAAATCAAACACAAAGAAACTATTCCGCGACCGAGAGAGAGGCACTTGCAGTTCTGTTAGCAGTGCAAAAGTTCCGAGTCTATTTTGGAAAGGCGCCGAATAACAGTGTATACTCTGATCATGCGGCGGTAACTAGATTGTACTCAGGG